CGATCTTTTTAGTCTCTTGAATATTCGATTTAGAGTTAAGAGGTGTCTATGCCACTAACCAACTCCTTAAAGAAATACAAGAGCTTCTCCGGCAAACCACTATAAGTACCCATCGAGTCGAGCAATTGGATGCTAAGAAAGGTGTCTTTCTGGGCTAAATTCTAAGCCTATAGACTGAATTAGGAGAGCAGAGGTTTAATCCAAAACCAGGAAAGCAAGCTATATCGAAGCACAATGCCAAGCAAAGCCCTAGACTACAAGTGAAGAAATAGGGTTCCACTAAGCGCCCTTAACCCGACACAAGATGGGACCCTATTAGGTAGGATAGTGGGCTTAGTCAGCCCAACATAGGCTGTCTACCAAAAAGGGGAAGTTCCCGTGATTTAAGGTTTCTGGATATCCTACCCTAAGACGAGAGGGTTGGGCTTAGAACAAGACCCATCGGTGGATAAGATCACATCTTCATAACAAAAGGTGTACACGTTCGGCCTCACTCAAGGTAATGGGCCAAACCTAACGAGTCCAAACAAATTGGATCTTTTTGTATGACAAAACCACATATTGGTAATTTTTTTCAGTAATTTATTTCCTCAAGCAATAGGGTTTTACCAGTCCCAGCAGAGCCTGTGATGAACACGGATTTGCCCTGAGGGATGGCAGACAAAATATGCTTCTGCTCGTTTCCCCATTCTATTGGAGTGAAGGTTAGCCCAATGTTAGCATTCAGATCCATTTTCAGCCCTGGCCCGGAAATGCCACCTTTTCCTGGCTTTCCAAACAAAGCCCATCGAAGTCCAGTCCATCTAATTTATTTTTTACCATTCCAGGACGGCCCAGGCCGCTATCCGAGTGCAATCGGCAAAAGCAAGTTTACCTTACTTATATTAATAATATAATTCGTTCTGCTGTCAAAAGTAGGGGAAAGTGTCTGATCCTTTCAATCAAGCGATAGAGGCAGAGGCTTTACTTCTTCAGCCTACGCTAGGACGGAGCTGCTGTCGAGTGACGATTGGCCGAGGGGAGTTAAATCATGAAGCTGGGTACAAATAAGCCAGTAAAAGACAAGTAGAAGCCAGTGAAAGAGGAGTAGTCAGGGTACGACGAAGCACGCCTGGTACGTAAGCGAATACGGATCACGTGGGTTTGTACTGATCCGCTTTCGAGCTGTCGAGTGAGGATTGCTCCATCTATGAAGAAAGGACGCAGGGGGCCTCTCTTATTATATTATAAAGGGGGTTACTCTCTTCTCTGATGTGCGCTATATTATTAAGTTATATTCCTGAAAGAGTTTTCGGGATTAAGCCACGTGGCGATACCCGCGAAAAACGAAAGACTCTTTTTTTTTCGCTTAGAGCTTCCCACGTCTATAAATAGAAGCTGCTTTCTCTATTTGGCAAAGCAAGGGGAGATAGATATGGATCCACCAGTTACCACTTTAACGCTTTTTCAAATTGAGCAAGCAATTCTTAATGTAGAGAACGCAAAGCTCCAGCAGGAGCAAACCCTGGCTGCCTTCTGGGAGCACATGCCTCCTGTCGAGGAGGAGGTCCTGGTAAAGCGGATACAAGAGCTCCGGGACCACATTCGCGCTCTGGAAGAACAAAGGAGGGTTCTCATCCGAGAGCGCGAATTGCTGCTTATCAGGGCGGCCTCCATCATCCGCAGGAGACCTGGGGGAAACTACTAAGAAGTCCTTTGTTTTTGCTTTTCTTTTAACTTAATATGTTGTTTGTTTACTTTGTTGTAATGTTGTGTTTAGTTGTGTGGCTGGTTTGTCTATGTGTGCGTAAGCTTCATAAAGGGTCCGTCGACTCTTTCTAGAAGATTTAAATAAGTGTCTGTAGACGCAAAGTAGTGTGTTTTAATGTATGGTGTTCTTTGTCTTTTTTAGTTGAGATCTACTCCGGATGCTTACTGGAGATAGACTCCTATCTATGCTAACTATCTTTGTTTGGTTTTATTTTTTATGTTTGCATGTATGGTATGGGAAAAGCCCTAGTTGTAAATCTTTACTACTTATGAAAATATAATAAATAATAATGTTCGTAAAAATGTGCTGAAAATTTATAAGGTGTAAGCTCAGTGTACTGGAGATGCGCTTATTAAGCCTTTCTAGCTTTGAAGCAAACTTCTTCCTTGAGTCTGCGCCGTCTTAAAAACCAAACCCTAATCTTGCTAGTTCAGTTCGTGTGTTTTACGTGAGCGCGTTGAACTAGTGTGCATGGACCTTAGCCACGAGTTTTTCGGCCTAGACGCTAATAACACGAAAACACTTTGGTCCTGGGTTTTCGATCTCTGTTTTTGCGCTTAGTCTTGCTTCTTTGGTCACTTCACTTGAGCTATAGATTAATTTATCCGGGTTCCCTGCGGGGCTACCTCGCTCCATGAACTCACTCCACTCCCCCTTACAGGAATAGAAGACTCGGTAATCAGTCTCAAAAAAATAGGGTGCTGGTAGCTCCTGAGTAAGAAGATAAAGAATAGTTCCTTTATTTAAATTTAACTATTTATCTTTCTGTAAGCGAAGGTATCGAATGACTTTCTATTCAGCTTAGTAATCAATTCCATCGCTTACTGTTCTCCTTCGGATCCTTAGTAAGTAGTCAGTCTGTTGCTTGTTTAGTAAAGGTCACTTCCCTTTTATTGCTAAATAAACTTTATCACCATCTCCTGGGCGATCCGTTCACAGAGTCCTTTCCCATTCTATCTAGGGCAACATGTTGAATGAATATTCCGGAGAGCCAAGAGAGAATGAACTGCCAATAGACTTGAATGAAAAGCTAAATAGAATAGAATTGATTACAGTTGCAGAATCAGAATAATCGGAACTATTCTTTATCTTCTTACCGTTCGTGACCCTATTAGTGAGCCAACAAGCAACAAGTAAACTTCCAAAGCTTCTAACAAGCAAGCTTCAATCGGTAAAATCCCCGAGTGAGGTGCCCTAACGCTATACTATAGGCTTGAGCTAATCATTCCTTCCTCTTGCGAGCAAGCGATTTCACATTCTTCTCCCTATCAGGCCTTTTGTCCTCGTAAGCAACGGTATTCCATCACTTAGTAGCTATGGTATTAAATCACTCGAGCTAAGCGAAGAGGTATGAGATCACTGAAAGGAGAGGATTGAATCGGATGCTCGGATGATCGACCGATAGGGAAAGGTTACAGCTGTAAGAAATGCGGTTACTACACTCTGATTTATCTGATTCTCGTTCGCCCACTTTACTTCTTCCTTCTTTGGCGCTGCTGGAGATGCCCCACAAGGCCTTCTTTCTCAAGATTTCACGCGGTGAACAAAAGGAAGCAACGCCGCTACAAGCAATAGAAAGCAACGTTTATTAATCCATTTCAGTAGGTGGCGGTGTACACTAAGTATCAACAAAGGACGCTTTCTCTCACCCAGCCCTTTGGAGGTGTTAACTCTTCGCCTTCGGCTTTCTATTGAATGATCCATCTGGTGTGCTATTTAGACTCCCCCAGTTAGGGCTTCTCCCTTTTCAATCTACATGGCATACGTACACGAATGAATATTCAAACTCATCGACTCGGCTCAAAGCATATGATCAAAGCTCTAGTGGCGCACATAGCAATATCAGAATAGAATTATCGTCGGCCTGACCAGCAGTAATAGCGAACTAACACTGTTCTAATAGAAAGGGGGAGTCCCTCTTTGCGGTAGATAACGCAACCGAACACAAAATGAAGCTTTCAGTCTCGCAAAGCATCTGGGCGAGCCGGAAACAGCCAGCGAATCGATAACTGAACAAGAGGAAGTAGAGCGTCTCACGACTCTATATGTTGTACCACATACTAAGACCTAAAGCCGTTCTTAATAGAAGTCCCCAGGAGCTGGTTCCTTGAAAACTCTTCCCTTGACTTCTATACGAACTGGTCAAGATTTCACTTCTTTTTCTTCGCCTCTATCAATTCCTTCGTCGAGAAAGAAAGCAATAAACGCTCGGGTGGAGGAGGAATTTTGTACCAAAAGCAAGCCGGTTCAGCCCCCCCCCCCCTACTAAGCATACGTTTATTACCAGATCCGATAACAGCGATTCTCCGTCTCTGACCGGGAGGTATCACATCTACAGACATTAGCCCCAAATGCTAGCTCGCATTATTAATTAATAGTAAGTCGCTACATCATGCTTTTGAGGAAGCTAGGAAAAGAAAATAGAGACTCCCTCCTAAGAAAGGATCTGCTAGCCTTTCTTTCCCGTCCTGTCATCCGGCAAAACATTAGGTTTAGCTTATATAAATGTGTTGGTTGGAGCAATGGGATTTGATTCCCCTGATCTACGATCACCCTCTTCAATCTATATTCGACAGCTTGAAGAGGGCTTGCTTCTTGCTAAAGATAAATTATCTCATTTAAGAAGGCATCGCCTGCCCAATGACAAGCAAAAGACGAAGAAGGAACTTACTAGACCTCCTTGCGCCCATAGCTTGACCTCAGCCTTGAACTACCTGCACGGAAGCCTTCCCTTCCTGGCGCGCAGACAGACCATCTTTAGTGAAGTCCCTCCTTCCCCTAAAGCATCCATTTCGTCAAAGAAGGACGGAGCAGGCACACTTACTACTCTGATTGGGCGTGGACTGGGAAAAAAAAGTAGCAGCTAAAGGAAAGCTATAAAAAAGGTATTGGCGAAGAAATTTCTAAAAATAGAAAGGAAAGAGGCACCACTCGCGAATCCTTTCTTTCTTGGTTTCGCTACCTGTGATCAAAACAATTAACGTATTAGATCTATCCATCTTTTGGTCCAGTCAAGAAGGAAGATAGGAAGAGGCATCTGTCTATCTAGCCCTTCAGTACACATTACAGGTTCAAGTCCTCTATTTATCTGTCTTAGTTGTTCGTGGTCAGAAGGTTGAGCATAGAATGGCAGTTTCGCGTACTCCTCTGTCTTTTTCCTATCTTCTCTCGGAATTAGGTGTAGCTATATCATAAGCTCATGTTTCACAGATATTTACTTTGATTTATCTTCCATGGCTAATGTAAGGAAATGAGACGACTCTTTCTTGAACTATATAATAAAAATATCTTCCCCTCCACACCAATCACGAGTTTTTCTCCATTCCTCTCGTATATCGCCGTAACGCCCTTAATACTAGGTTTTGAAAAAGACTTTTCATGTCATTCCCATTTAGGTCCGATTCGGATCCCTTCGTTGTTTTCTTTTCCTCCCGCACCTTTTCCTCGAAATGATAAAGAAGATGGTACACTCGAATTTTATTATTTAAGTGCTTTTTGCTTGCCAAAGATCCTACTTCTACAATTGGTAGGTCACCGGGTTATTCAAATAAGTTGTGTTTTATGTGGTTTTCCCATGTTACAACTTCCGTACCAATTCGGTCGATCCGGAATGGATCGGTTAAACATTCTATTAGGGAGCCTGGTCTTTACTCTTCTGTGTGGTATTCATTCTCGTTTGGCTCTTGGAATCACATCCAGCAGTGGTTGGAACAGCTCGCAAAATCCAACCACTTCACCTACTTCATTGCCCCCAACCGTATCTCGTACCTCTATTGAAACAGAATGGTTTCATGTTCTTTCATCGATTGGTTATTCCTCTCCGTTCGTATCTCTTTTTCCAATTGCGGTGTCAATGAGTTTACAAGATTGAATGGCGCTGGGCCCAGAGTTGGTGAATTGCTACTTCAAAAATGAAATGAGAGGCCATTCAAGCTCCGACACTGTATGCATACCAGCACCATGGATATTTTAATAAATCTATTGAGTAAGGGGGCTGAAATTAAGTGCGACCAGATCTCTGGCCTAACAGACCAAACAAATCTTGCCCAACTACAATCTTTCAAAGCATGGCAAAACGTCCTCCCCATCTGTCCCACAAATAGGGCAATTTGTGATCCCTCTTTAGAATTTAGCCAGGTTCGTTAATAAGCGATCCCTTCTCGCCAGCTATAGGAAATGCTTAACACGATTAGAAACTCAAAAAAAAAGTAATAGAAGTCTAGCCGGTCGAGTACCACATAAGGAGACAATCCTATCAAAGCGAATAATCCAATGACTTCCCCTTTTTTTTGCTTATTCAGGCCTCTTTCGGTTGCTATCTAGCTTTACCGAATGAAGTTAGTCAGCTTCCTTTTCCGCTTTAAGACAAGTAGCTAAGTCGTCTTAATCCAGCGACGAAAACTCTTGCGCTAGGAGAAAGGCTCAATCCCCTCGCTTTGTCGCCCCTATCTCGTTAGCCGTTGCTTCTTCCCTCGCCTAAACCTAAACTAGTCCTACTCCTACAGCTTGCGCCGAAGATTCACTACCAGCTCTTTTACCGCCCGTAGTTGACTGATTGGAGTCAGGAACTAGTTTTTTGAATAGAGCCCTTTCTTTTGACTTTACTTGCCCAAAATAAATTATATTCCTTGACACTATATATAGTTGGCTGAAACCGGAAAGGCCTTCAAACAATCCCGTACTCCTGGCTCTAGCCCGCTTCACTGCATGAAACAAACGGTTAGGTTAGACCTCTGTCTGGCATTTCTTCCCTAGAGACCTGTCCCCCCAACATTTCCTTTTGGTCTTAAGAGATAGACTTGGCTCTCTTATCTTTCAATCTGGACTTGCATGTGTTCCGCATATGACTATTTCGAGTGATTGTTGCTATCTGGCTTGAGTTAGACAAGCAGAGAAGGATCTTATGCCACCGGTGATCGGCCTGTCTATCTAGTATCTAGTACTAGGACTAGTAGAGTAGAGTAGAGGCACTACCGGGCGGGGCTTCCTCGATCACAGCTTCTCGCTTAGCTAACTGCCAGACAAGGATGCAAATCAACTCCTTATATAGAATAAGATCGACACATTCAATGAAGCAGCCAGTCCGGCAGACAAGCTACTTTCTGATTCTAGGACTGGCGGATCCTCTATCTATTAGCATACCCGTACCGGCAGTTAGACTAGCACTCTCTCCCGCAGTAACCGAGAGCTGACTGTCTACCTGATTCAGTCTACTGGCAGTGAGTACCAGACTATGAGATAGCCTGGCCAGTGCATCCAATCTGATACCAGGCAGGAAGCTTATTGATTGTATCCCCGTCTGCTTTCCTTAAGATCTACAGAATACGTTATAGATGAGCCTGCCAACCGTTCCACCGGAGCGGTTTGGTTTAAAGTCCCATCCATAGGGAGTGTCGACAGAACCGTCATACACCACTTATTAAGGGGATGTAAAACACGCGGGATAACCCAGTTACCTATGGCAAATATCCTACGCCCTCTATAGACTGACCTAGTCGGCCGAGGCTGGGCATAACCTCAGCAAACTCTGGACAAGGATGTCCGACTCTAACAGCTTCCTCAAATGCAGAACAACCTATCTGCGAGATGAGTTCGTTGTTAGGGTCAAAACAATACCTCGTCCAAGGAAACCACAACGCGCCTAACCAATTAGCTTGTTGACGCCCACGGAACTTATTCCGAGACTCAGCAAGTTGAAACCTTGAATGGATTTCAAAGGGGAAGGCTCGGAAGACAGATGGAACTCCTTTCTTACGACGAGAGCCCTTCAATCGGATAGGCTTCATCTTAGATGGTGTGGCCTTCCAGGTCGGATCCCAAGTCATTCCTTGTAGCAAAGGAATACTAGAGATAGACGGAACATACCTTTGCAGTAATTCTTAAAAAAAAAAGAATTCGCAGCATCGGTAGCCAAGGCCTTCACATTAGAAGGGGGAGTAGAGATAGAAGAGAAAGTTGATCTATCCACTTTCTTAGCCAATTAAAAAAGATTTGCTATAGTAAAGAAAGATACAACTTGACTACTATATCTGCTCGATCATCACGCCTACGGATCACCTTACGGTGAAACGGGGGAATGATCCTTGGGAGTCCCGTCCTCGTGAGAGAGATGGGAACAGATAGTTCGGTCAACCTCTTAGGGTGAGTAGAAGAAGAATAGTGCATAAAGCATGTTGATGCTTGTTTACAGTAAAGTGCAACATACAGCCACCCTGATCGACGGCCTAACTTTACTACCAGTTTAACCAGGTGATGAACACCAAGACAGATTTATATCGTTAACCCACCGGTGACCACCAAAGGAATCTTCAAAAGAACCTTAGTTTAGTAGTAGGGTCTTTTCCAAAATGCCCTTGCTTTTCAGTAACGCTCGAAATCACTGATGTCGAGTTCAATCAGAGTAGCTTACGGACTTGGAACCTCTGGCTGAAAAGATTGAATTACTTCAAAGGGAGGGGTTTCTCGGCGAATTCCGGGTATTAAATCTCTTTTTTCGGACTTTGTCGGGCTCTTCCCTTTCCTTTGAAAAATTGCCTCCAACAAGCTCTTGAAAGTCTTTGACTAAGCCTCCTTCCCGCTCTACTGGAAACTTTCCAATATGCTTCGAGTGCCTTAAATATAAATAAAAGATAAGAGGCAGAGGAAATATCGATTTCGATGGAAGCCAATTCAACCGCTTCGCCCCTATTCATTCTCTAAAGTAAAGGTATCGACAGAAAGAAGTCCCTAGCTTCAGAAGTGGCAGCAGTGCTCTCGTATATAAGAGAAAGGCTGCTTTTAGGAGTGATCCTTCCCTCTAACCGCTAACTCGAAATAAAATAAGCTAAGAGAGATGTGGCAAAGAAGGAATTTCAAGAGGTGCGTCGAGAAGTTCCATACCTTCTTAATAGAGTCCATAGCCTTGCTTGTACTTACTTAAGTAAAGATTGGCTTGGTGTTAAGTGTATAAAAAATAAACTATTTCAAATCATCCCTGCTCCTCGAAGTCTTTCTTCGACGTCAGAGAGTTTGATCGAGAAAGCTTGGGTGGACCCCCAACCATTAGCGCATTCTAAGATTAAGATGACTAATTGGCTGGAGTAGCAGAGGGAGAAAGGTGAATCCGCTCATGATGCGTGGAAAGTAGGGGAAGAGTCTGATGAAAAACCGTCTGCGATAGATCACGTCGAACTGAAGCACTTAAGAAAGAAGCTGATAACTTTTGGTTGATTTGATGCTCATTCTGACACGGTTCATATAAAGTCACAGCACAGACATAACCTGGTTGCTGCTACTAGTCAGGCTCATCAAATGCAAACACGGCTCTTGTTGGCCTTGGCCCAGCCGTCAACTGCTTCAACTGCAGATGCGGCTGACCTAGATCTAGATGTCCCATCAATAGCGAAGGAAGTGGCTAGAATACTTACTTCCAAAGATTACTACATAATGAGTTCTCTTTTTAATAGAATACCTTTCTACTCGGAAAGAAATGCTATGATACGATTAGCTCTAAGTACCTAAGTCCATAGATCGATCGCGAGCTGCGGCTTGCTTTGTTAGCATCTACGTAACGGCCTTGTTTGTTAAAGCGTTCCAACGACATCTTTTGCACATGGTCTCTACTGACACACACCTCTCCCCTGTAAATCCTCCTTATAACCTAACGGAAAGCCAACCTGAGTTAAACCTGACGTCAAAGACTAGCCGCTTAGACGGGTATAAGTACTAAAATACCATACATATGTAATGGACTACTTTTCATACTACTATCCTTCCTCGCTATGATAATAGGACTCTGTCAGCTTCCGCTGCTATGACGATATCGCTATTGATCGCGTAGCCATGACATACTCCTATCTTCTTGAGAGCTAGGGATATGGAAAAAGATCCGTAAATTCCCCCGCTTTCAGAGATTCCAACTCCTAAAGGAAGAAGTTCCCCTTCGAAAGTGGCTTCGTGAGTTCGAATACCAAGCCTCTTTTATCATTCCCCTTAAGAAATCCTTCCGGGAGAAATGATGGCACCGCCCCGACATAGAATGGAATTGATGAGGTTTACCCAGATCTTTATCTTCTATCCATGAAGAGCTCGTGACTCTGCGCCCGCATGAGTGAAGGGAAATGCTAGTTTATGTATTTCCAGGTTCACCCGTGAAGGTAGAAAGATTCTCGTTGCTTTCCCCTTTCCTAATAGGTCAGGACCGCCCCTTTCTGAAGACTTGCAAGTGAGGCGGAATGGGATTCATGCAGAGAGGCTAGAGTGGAATACTTGTAACGAGCCGGAGAGGAGACTGTGGCACTGACTTTCGGAATGCGCAGGGGAGAAATCCCAAAGCAAATGCAAAGAAGAAGCTCTTAGATGTTTATCCAGTCTGGACATAAAATCCTTCCGGTCAGCAAAAGAAAAGGAAAAGGTTTAGCGTAGCCCAGAATCCACTCTTCTTGATTGAATCCCCTGAGAATCTGTTGTACCAATTGCAACAGTCTTAAGGCCATTAGTTGGAGTGCTAAGTGCTGCTTTGCCTATCTATTCTATTCTGCTACTTTTTTCTTACATCCAGTGCTACATCTAGAGGTCCAGTCCCCTGGGTCATTTGATATCTCTAGTCTGAGTTCCGTTCAACAAGCCAGTTCTGTTAGATCGCTTACAGTCCCCGTAGTGTCCAGTAGCTGTCTCTTTTTCTTACCGGCAAGCGGCTTGAAAAAAAAGTTAAGATATCTCCATCCGGTGGGAGTTGCTATCCATATAGTTCAATGGCAGTTCTACTTGCAGCCATTGAGAGTTATCTTGCATCCGCTTTCCATCCAGCAGAGTCAGGGGCAAAAGGATCTGACGCAAGTTGGAGCTAAGGATCGACAGAAAGCTAGGGTTTTTCGTGCTTATCCCTTCTTATCCGGAACTAAGGAGTTAACGATATATCGCTTAAGGAGATATCTAGCCAAGCGATTCACCTGATCCAGACACGCCAATAGGCGGCTTTGAAGATAGTAAGTAAGAGTAGTGGCATTCTCATCAAAAGGATAAGTAAGTTCGCAATCCAGTGATAAAGTGAAAAAAGGTGCTTTTTTCTGCGCATATTCCCTGGTTAGGATATGCATATAATATTATAGGTTACAGTTTCTAATCTATAGGATTGATTCTGGCTTCTGTAGGACTACTAACTAGACTATTCTCTTCTCTCCGCTAAAAACGTAGGAAGGAAATCTGTGCGAAGGCTTTCTGTGGGTAAGGCAAAGGTAGATGTAAGATTGCGATATGTGTCTTACCTTGGTAATTCCTTTATTTACCTAGTGGGTCTAACTAGATTTTCTGTCTAAGGAAGAGGAGAATCGCCCTAAAGAGCCTGCCTATATCGGAGGAGTCTCCGGTACTGATTTCCTTGTTTTCGCTTCTGGGCTTAACCAAGCCAGGGCGAATAAGGGATGCATTCATTTTCATTGTGAGTGTAAACCCTTAAGAGCCGTCGGCCATAAGACTTTGGGCATCAAGAGTGCTCCAGTAGCATTGGTGGAACAATCGAAAGACCATTATGAGGATTGGGAAAAACCTACATATGGAAGATGATATGCCACAAGAATCCCCCAAGATGACAACAGATTAAGACCTAGGATCAATGCCCCCAAAACAGTCCCTGAACTACCGCCTTCAAATTTCCATTCCTGGATCACAGAAGGCAGACTAATCAACCAGGTCTGGTCTTACCTAGGAAGGACACCTCTCCTATTTCAGTCATACCTCGTCCCAGAAGTAGAGAGGAGTCCATCTCAATCAAAAGGAAAAGAAAGATGTACTACCTTCACTCTTTCAGAACCTCTCCTACTAAGTCGTACACCTTTTGCCCAAATCCCTTCGCTATTGAGCAGATAGAGTCAGACTTTCTTCGTAAGGAATCGGACTAAGAGGATTTCAATTCCATTTCCATAGAGCAGATCCAGTAAGACAGTATACTTTCGTGCTCTTTCTATCTATTTACAATGACTGAGAGTCGCTCAAGCGAGCAGGCACGTATAGGGCAGCGCCTTCTACCTTCCTAAAATAGGAAAAGACCAGTCCTTCTACATCTCAAGGGCATGCATGCCCTATAGACCTAGTCTATCGGCTATAGCTGCAGCTATGACTGACCAATAAATTGAAAGCTCTAACTAAAAAAGAAGTCCCAGGGCTTATTCCCTTTTCAAGGTCTTGTAGCCAGACTGATCCAGTCATCTATATCTCGTTTCGCCCCTTTGGCTCTCCCCAGTCCAAGATCTTATTGAAAGAGCCACAGCTTCTTCAAATTAAATAGCAAAGGATATTCACCCGGCTACTCAATCTTCTCTCTTTCACTCCTTCAAGGCCTCTTTCAAGCTAAGAAGACTCCTTTCAAGGTTATCCATATTCTTATCTGCAGATCGGAGTCGTTCACTGCCAAAGGCGGGGAAAGCTAAGAGAGAAAGGCCGGTAGGAGAGCAAGCGGTGGTCCAAGGAAGACTCAGACTATAAGAAGAAGGGGCTTTCAAAGGCTCTGTCTTTCGACACTGAATCTTTTGACAGATAGGCATCTACGAATTCATATGGGCACGAGAACCGATCCTCATGAGGAGATCCCCTAACGAGGCCCCAAACTAGCGAGACAGCGAAGGATTTGAGCCTTGTTGTGATTCCCCCTTAATCAACCTTTCATCTTTGTTCTCCTCTACGCAGTTTGACGACTTCCTTTGAGGAAATGATTGGACACCAACCAGATGGCACATTCCGAACGGAGAATCCAGCCTAATTAGTGATTCCCTTTGGTGGGACTAATCCAACTATAGATTTGACTCTTGAGTCGGTAATGCCGCTGGTGGGGACTAATCCAACTCTTTTCCACTAAGTAGCGGTGAAAACCTTAGTCTTAGTATTTTTAGAGGAAAAGAAAGCCAGTAGGGAGGAGCAAGTCTCCCAGTTTTTGTGTTATGCCAGTATCCTGCTTTAGGTCTGACGGCTTTAGGGCCCCTTGAAAGGGACTTTTCATTGATAGATCGAACCAAAGATCGGAGTAACCGCCTCCCGCTAAAGCAATTGTAGAAGCTCCATCTCCAATTAATGTAGCAGCTTATAACATCCCCCTCGGGTGACTGAACTACCTGAATTCCTTACAACTCGTGCCCCATGCCGGTAGTTGCCTTTTCGAGACCAATCCTTGTGCCTTTTTTTATGAAAGGGGGTAGAGCCTTATGTAAACTGAGAAGGGGTATGACCTAAACCTGCTTTAGCTGTGGAAGAAGGCGCCAATGATCCTTCCCTTCATTGGCCTAATAATCTAAATCTTTGCTTTGGCAGTTTGGCATAAGTTGGCCTCAAGCTTTCTTTCCTTGAAAACCCTATTATTGTGCCCATCCAATGAGCACCCTAGTAGAAGGGACTATCTAATCTACTGGAGCTACTGCTGCCACTTCTATCTTCTTTCTGAAGATACGGCATTTAGTAGTCAAGCTCATCCAGTCTATCTAGGAACCCGGGATATGGGATTTTCCCTTTGAGTCCTCTTTGATCTCTTACTACTAGCTGTGGGGAAGCGTCAAAAAGACCTTGTCCCTAATTGTCTTAAAATCAGTCCTACTGATGCCCTTGATCTCACTCGACCTATTGACTTTATTTGAGACAACCAAAGCGATTAAATCCATGGAAGGATTTTAAGTCCCTGGGCAGATTCAATAGCTGCCTAAGAGCCTAGTTGTCCAATTCCTTCTACTGAAGAAGTAGCAATTCCCTGCACTCCGAAGACCTCCCATTAATAGCCTATCTTTCTAGGTGCGTTAGGATGTGACCCCTTCAATTGTTAGAAATTTCCCTTTATGACTCGTCTTCTTTTAATTGGTCTATCCGGAGATACTAAGCCTGGAATAAGTTTCGATCTATGGCAATTTCTTTGTAGTATTTGTAGTAACAAGGCCAGTTAAAGCTGTCAGATATAGGGGATACTGCCTACTTCAATCAAGTTCAAGGCAGGCTAGCTCAGTACAAGATTCCCTTCCTTTAAATAGAGCTACTTCCCGCTCTTCTGTCTGTCATCTGTCAACAGGTAAGGGTCGCATCTGTCCAGTAACTGTCCTGTAGGCGGTCCAATCGCTCATCCGTCCACGCGTCCTACGAAGACAGTCCTCTAGCTTCTGTTATGAGTGAATTTCTATGGACTATTTGATCTAAAAAGAAGCCCTGTGAAAGCCAATTGATGAAAGATCTGACCTCGCTGGAACTACTAGTAATGATTGTACAACCGAGAATGATTCTGTTTTCCTCAAACAAAATCAACCAAGCTTTCTGGTCCTGCCATTCCACCAGACGATATCTTCCTGCGGTTCCAGTACGTAACTCTCCTACACATACATACCCAATCACAAGGAATAAATGCCGGCTCAAACACAATTGGATTTCTTTCCTTTCTTGATCTACGTTAATCGACGTACAAAGCCAATCGAAGGTCAGATCAGTGGCTCAGTAGCCTTCCTGCTAGGCGATCCGCCAGATCCTTGAAAATGGGTGTTATAGACATCCGCTCACCGAGGAAGACCAACCCCATGCTAATGCTAAGGAAAGCAGTGGAGAAAGGAAGCAAGCAAGAAGCGCCCTCAACTACTGATTACCAATAGAAAAGAGACCATAGATAGCAGATTCCAATCGATGCAAGTCAGATAAAAACTTTTCACACTAGGTTCGATTGACCTGCTTCGGAATCTTAGTATTCATGGCTTTCGCCTCAACCAGGGATCTTAGAGGCTAGCTATAAGTGAAATTGCTTTACCGAAGGTAACATCAACGAAGGAAACTCTTAGAAGCAATCAACAGAAATACGTAGGGAGATCGCTATCAGAAAGGCAGGACTAGATGGCATTCCTAACTCTGACTTTATAGTTCAACCCTTAGAGTGTGAAAGGAAAGGGCAGAAGGTCTATTTTGGGGGTGGGTCTAGAGCGAAGGAAAGAGATGTGTGGCAGAGGGCAGTTGAGGCGTCGAACGAACATGTTTGAGTATGGATCGTAATTGAGCGAAAGATCTGCTCATCGAAAAGTGGTCAACAAGCGAAGGTCTTGACCTGGAAGGATCGAAGAGAGCGCTAGTAGATCGAGCTGTAGGCGCATGGACTTGGCTAGTGAAGCACAAACCACTCATCTTTCCATAGAGAGTGCTACCCTAGAGTAAGATGAGCGACCCCAGTGGCAACGTTAGTCCCAAGGTAGCTTGCTTACTTCACTAGTCAACGAAGTGCGTAAACAAATAAAGGAACATTCTTGCTTGATCATTTGCTCTGACTAGACCGCCCCCCCTAGAGTACGAGACTGGTTCGCCATAGGTCCGAAGTTGGCTACTGATTGGATAGAAATCTCGTGCAAACACGATTTACTTATTTTATGACGTGACGAAACCCCGGAAATTTGACATCAATTGCTCGGAAAAGCTCTTTTGGAGGTTAGCTTTTCAACTATTATCGTACTATAAGCATTTTCGAGAATCGACCTTTAAACTATGCCAAAAACCCGGTTTTTTAGCCGGCCTAGCCGATTTGTAAACAAACGTAGTGTTATGCTTAACACATGCATGATGGAAGACAGTTCCTTTTCTAAAATATGAAAGATCGTATTTGAAATCAACCGAAGAGAGGCAAACAAAGTCTTTTCTTGACCTCGGAGCCCTGGAATGAATATTCAGAAAGTTTCGCTGCTCCAAAGCTGTCTCGGGAAAGCTACAACTCTGAAACCAACCTGTCTAAAGCAACTTTGCAGTTTCACTACCGAAGCTTACACCATCTTCTGATGAAGGGGCAACCGGTCGATGGTCAACAAAGGATCCTATCTCAAACTCAAAGGCATTTCTTTCTCGTGGGCAGAATCGCTATTTTAGGACCCGATAGCCAACAGGGGTTCAAAAGTCGCATTTTTATTGACTGACATCGGCCTTCTAGAGCTTAAAGAGGGGAAAACCAGAGTAAAAGATTGGATTTGTGAAACCAACCAAATTAAATGTCTTTCTTTGACTCTACACCTCTACACTCTACTTGAATAAAGGGTTTTGCCTCCGAAGCTAACAGCCGCTAAGCAGAGGAGAAGCTAAGCTATACAAAGCAGTCTAGACTAAACGAACAACATGGGACTCAAAGAAGGATCAATCCATTTTAATCTCTCCCTTAGAAGGGAAATCAACCAATACTTTTTACAAAAGGGAAACTCATTAAATTTCCTCTCCTTATCGACTAACTCGCCTAACCTACAAGCGGAAAGAAAGAGTTTCACCTCCTCTGCGAAACCTCTGCTCGAAGCCGAATTCCTCTTTTTCCTTTTCTGCGTGCCATTCCTGCGATGTTTCAAACAACACATGTAAAAAATATCATAAGAGAATAATTGGAAAGGAAAGTCGTACGCCAGGTTCACCAGGTTCTACCACTGCAGGGCTCAATCATGCTAGTTAGGCTATATGCTTAACACATGCAATTCTAACGAAGTGCTCTTGGATGACTCTTTGATATTCCGTCAGTAAGTCAGTGCATCAAAAAAAGAGTCATGCTCTTCCTCTTTGAAAGGAAAGGGGCTTTAGTTAAGTCATCGATTCCAATCCTATATTTATTTTTTTTTGTTGGTCAACAACCACATATCGTTTCTTTTCCTTCAAGACTTCGGACAGAAAGAGAGTCCGGAGGGAATCATTGAGAAACAATCAATCATGCCTCAACTGGATAAATTCACTTATTTGGTCATGTCAGAATTTGCACCTATTTGTCTCTCATTCGTGATCAGTCTGCTAGTTTCTTTGATCTTACTCGGTCTGATTTTTGTTAATCCAACACGAAAGTTGCCCCCAGGCGAGGTTTTTCCTATGGCTCTCGGTCTTTTATCTTGCTTTGGCACTCCTCTTGCCTTTAGTGCCGACACCGTACCTTCCCCTTCGGATTTGTTTACGTATACTTCCGACATGCTAGAAGACTCGGCGAGTTCCGGGCGTAGTAGTAGTACCTCAGCGGTCAATCAACCGCTTCCGGGGGAACAAGCTATGCCTCCCGCTCTTCCTGTTATGCAGGAAGCTGCTCTGCCCTACCCCTATCAAAATAATGAGATTATAGGGGGGGACAGTGTTGAATCCATCCAACGGAGGCTTTTGGGGAGATTCCCCTCTCCTTCTGCCCATGAGATTCAAATGGCCCGGATTGAAGCCGAAGACCTATTCGAGGTCAAGGTCGATATCTGTCAGGTCATGGCGGGCCTTCACCCAAGCGGGGATTGGATGGGACGGGGGGCTAGAGCTCTGGATAATCTTCGTACCGCCACAGGGGAGGAGTCCTTAAGTAAGCTCCTTCGAATGCGTGAGGACCTGGAGACTGCAGGTTTGCAGTCCGCAACCTTCCGGCAATTGGCCGACAGAGTGCCATTCCGGGCGGATGCGGATCAACACTCAGCCACCTAGGACAGGATGAGATCGCGTGCAAGACGCGACGCTCCCTATGATATCTGAGGTCTTTTTCCCATGCATCGGTCAACAACCAAGCACAGCTCTCTATAGTTATTCACTACTCCGTGCAGGAAAGACTATCTTTCTGTCTGGAGGTAATTTTTTTGTCTCAAGCAATCACTATGTTTCCACTCAATTTTCATTACGAAGATGTATCACGTCAGGATCCGTTGCTCAAACTGAATCACGCCAACGTTATGGAAGTTCCTGGATCGTGTGAAATAAGATTAGTACCTAAGGCACCCTATGATTTAATAATAATAAATGGAAAATTGGCTATGGAGATTCCGCGCGGTCAGAAATTCATACAGA